CTGGGGGGGTGGTCGTGCTGGGGGTGGTTGTGCTGGGGCGTGGTCGTGCTGGGGCGTGGTCGTGCTGGGGCGTGGTCGTGCTGGGGTGTGGTCGTGCTGTGGTGAGGTCGTGCTGGGGTGTGGTCGTGCTGGGGTGTGGTCTTGCTGGGGTAGGGGCGTGCTGGGGTCGGGTCGTGCTGGGGTGTGGTCGTGCTGGGGTATGGTCGTGCTGGGGTGGGGTCGTGCTGGGGTGGGGTCGTGCTGGGGTCTGGTCGTGCTGGGGTGTGGTCGTGCTTGGGTATGGTCGTGCTAGGGTGGGGTCGTGCATTTCGCTCGAGACATCCTGCCAAAATTCCAGGAAATCGTACAAAAACAAAGGAAATAGTCGAGACATCATCGAAATTCCTTCGCGCGGGGCGCTTTTCCGCGTCGCGGTCGGCTCTGCAAAACAAGCGTTTCGCTCGAGACATCCTCGGAAAACTCTGCGGAGCAAGCGTTTCGCTCGAGACATCCTCAACACACGAAAAAGTGGCCCGCACCCTGTGATTTATCGATCGGGATTTCAAAAACAAGCGTTTCGCTCGAGACATCCTCAAATTTTAATTCGCCGGCCTCCTTCGACCTCGTTATTTATCAGGGAAAAAATTCGCCGGCCTCCCTCAAGTTGGCACCGGGGGACAGGCTTACCAACTAAAAGAGAACCCTGGGCTCATGCCCTTTCCGGGAACAAACAGGTCTCGACACTGCTTCACGGCGAAGCCACAGCCTCATGACTTCGCTCTTCCATGGCCCATTCTCCGAGAGAGGGGGCCGGCGGCAGGGGGCGAAGCCCTTACGGATAAGGAGGAAGGAGAAGAGGGAGGCTCGAAAGGGCTAGCCGAGCTCGGGACGAGGTCAGCGTCAGCTCGGGCGACTGGTACATCATGAAACACAGGGTGGTGATCAGCTGCACCTTGCTTTCTCTGCTGTGCTATTGGCAAGTGTTCGCCAGTGTGGAGGGCAGGGAGGGAGGGAGGCAGGGAGGGAGGGAGATAACCAATAAGGACGAGGATATTCATGAGAAGGGAGGAGGATGAGGAGGAACATGATGGACCCACGAACCCGGAAAGGGATATAGACATGCGCAGCATGGTCACGTTTTCACGATACCCAACTGGGCGACATCTCACAAAACATCCCACGAGACACCCCGCGAAACATCCCACGAGACACCTCGCGAAACATTCCACGAGACACCTCACGAAACATTCCACGAGACACCCCGTGAAACATTCCACGAGACACCCCACGAACAGGCAACCACTCAACCAGACACGCCACGAAACATTCCACGGGGTTGCGACTGGGTGTGGTCGTGCTGGGGTGTGGTCGTGCTGGGGTGTGGTCGTGCTGGGGAGTGGTCGTGCTGGGGTGTGGTCGTGCTGGGGTGTGGTCGTGCTGGGGGGTGGTCGTGCTGGGGGGGTGGTCGTGCTGGGGGGTGGTCGTGCTGGGGGGGTGGTCGTGCTGGGGCGTGGTCGTGCCACCCCGCGAAACATCCCACGAGACACCTCACGAAACATTCCACGAGACACCTCACGAACATTCCACGAGACACCCTTTGAAACATTCCAAGAGACACCCCACGAACAGGCAACCACTCAACCAGACACGCCACGAAACATTCCACGGGGGTGCGACTGGGTGTGGTCGTGCTGGGGTGTGGTCGTGCTGGAGTATGGTCGTGTTGGGGTGTGGTCGTGCTGGGGTGTGGTCGTGCTGGGGGGTGGTCGTGCTGGGGGGTGGTCGTGCTAGGGGGGTGGTCGTGCTGAGGGGTGGTCGTGCTGGGGCGTGGTCGTGCTGGGGCGTGGTCGTGCTGGGGCGTGGTCGTGCTGGCGTGGTCGTGCTGGGGTGTGGTCGTGCTGGGGTGTGGTCGTGCTGGGGTGTGGTCTTGCTGGGGTAGGGTCGTGCTGGGGTCGGGTCGTGCTGGGGTGTGGTCGTGCTGGGGTATGGTCGTGCTGGGGTGGGGTCGTGCTGGGGTGGGGTCGTGCTGGGGTCTGGTCGTGCTGGGGTGTGGTCGTGCTGGGGTATGGTCGTGCTAGGGTGGGGTCGTGCATTTCGCTCGAGACATCCTGCCAAAATTCCAGGAAATCGTACAAAAACAAACAAATTAGTCGAAACATCATCGAAATTCCTTCGCGCGGGGCGCTTTTCCGCGTCGCGGTCGGCTCTGCAAAACAAGCGTTTCGCTCGAGACATCCTCGGCAAACTCTGCGGAGCAAGCGTTTCGCTCGAGACATCCTCAACACACGAAAAAGTGGCCCGCACCCTGTGATTTATCGATCGGGATTTCAAAAACAAGCGTTTCGCTCGAGACATCCTCAAATTTTAATTCGCCGGCCTCCTTCGACCTCGATATTTATCAGGGAAAAAATTCGCCGGCCTCCTTCAAGTTGGCACCGGGGGACAGGTTTACCCACTAAAAGAGAACCCTGGGCCCGAGCCCTTTCCGGGAAAAAAGGATTCCCAAGAGGAATGACGACGAACGGACAAGAAGGCTTAGGAGGAGAAAGAGAAGGGAAGGCAAGGAGAAGAAGGAATGAAGGAAACAGGATGCGGAAGGAGGGAGGAGTAGGAGGAGAAGACGGAGGGCGGAGGCTGAAAGGGAGGGCGGAAGGATGGAGGAGGACGACGACGAGTCTCCTGATCCTCCTCCTCCTCTTCCTCCTCCTCCTCCTCCTCCTCCTCACCAGGCGGCCACAGGAGCTGTGTTCGTGACTACTCTGTGGGAACCCATCTAACCATGGACGACGCCTCGAGAGATGCAGAGAGGAGCCGAAACCGATTGACCTCCAAGCGAGTAAGGACCAAGTGTTCCTAAGTTTCGGATGGTCTGGAACAGGGAGGAGGAGGAGGAGGGACAAGAGAGAGGAGAGGAGTTGGAGGAGGACGAGAAAGAGGAGAACGAGTCTCGTGATCATCCTCCCTGCTCTTCGCCGGAAGTTTCCATGGCCCAAGGCTCGGCTACACGCAAGCGTGACCCTAGGCAAGAGTGACGTTGGTGCACGGCTTCGGGGGCAGCGCGCGGGGAGGGGGCGACAAACCCAAGTGCGCGAGCTGCTACTACAACATTATTGCGTTCAGCGACCGGGGGACCCCAGTGGACCGTACCAAAGGTCACTCCGACGAAGGGTCACCCTAATGTGCAGTCGAATCCAGCGATCGGGGGACCCCCAGTGGGCCCGCACCAAAGGTCATTCTGGCGAGAGGTTGTCACTCCGCGTGAATGCGGAAGGTGTCTAGGCAGGCCTATCAGCGCCTCCAGAGCACCGCCCGTGCTCCAGAGTTTAGAGTTTCACGAGCAGCCGCTGCCCCCCCCACCCCCTCCACGATGCTCCTCCCCCTCCCCTCTGCTGCTGCCAGCGGTCGCGGACACTACGTCGCCAATCCACGGGCCGTGGCGGGCCCGAACGCGATACCCCGGGGGGCCGCAGCAGAGGTGGGGGGCCAGGCGAGGAGCTGCAAGCCTCCCCTACCCCCTCCTCCGCCTGCTCCTCCCCCCTCCCTCCCTCCTCCCTCCCTCCCTCCCTCCCCCCCCCACCTCCCTCCCTCCCTCCCCCTCCTCCCTCCTCTCCCTCCCTCCTCCTCCCCTCCCTCCTCCTCCCTCCCTCCCTCCTCCCTCCTCTCCTCTCCTCCTCCTCCTCCTCCTCCTCCTCCTCCTCCTCCTCCTCCTCCTCCTCTCCCTCCTCCTCCTCCTCTCCTCCTCCTCCTCCTCTCCTCCTCCCTCCTCCTCCTCCTCCTCCTCCCTCCTCCTCCTCCTCCTCCTCCTCCTCCCTCCTCCTCCTCTCCTCCTCCTCCTTCCTCCTCCTCCTCCTCCTTGCCTCCTCCTCCTCCTCCTCCTCTCCTCCTCCTCCTCCTCCTCCTCCTCCTCCTCCTCCTCCTCCATCCTCCTCCTCCTCCTCCTCCTCCTCCTCCTCCTCATCTCCTCCTCCTCCTCTCCTCCCCTCCTCTCCTCCCCTCCCTCTCCTCCTCCTCTCCTCCTCCTCCTCCTCCTCCTCCTCCTCCTCCTCCTCCTCCTCGACTTGTCTCAGCCGAGCCACGGGGGCGCTCCGCGCCCGAAGTGCCAGCCCCTTCTTCTCGGGCCCCGCGCGGGGTGATTTTGTTACAGCGAGGGCCCGCCCTCGGCCACTTCTCTGGGGCTCGCTTCTCATCCCGGGTCGGGGCTCTTCTGACTTGGGCGTGGCTTAGTGGGGGGTCATAAATGGCGGGGTCAGAAACGGTCCCCTTTCGTGCCCCTTTCGGGCCCCTCTGGAGCCCCAGGGGGCTCGTTTAGGTACCGTTTGGGTACCTTTTCGGACCACCCGCGACACCCCCCCATTTATGACCCCTCCATTACGCAACGCCCAACTGACCCAGGTCAATCCAGACCCGGGTCAGCAGGAAACCAACAACTGCAATGCAAGAAACATGATCGACCCAGGAACCCGGAAAAGAATCTAGAACTGTAACGCATGGCAGCGTTTTCAAAGACACCTGATTGGGTGACGGGCAAGTGCAATGCTGATTGTATCGATCTTGATGTACCGTGCCGAGGGCTGTGCTGTGCTGCACCGTACTGAATTGCGATGTGCCATGCCGCGGTTGTGCTCTATAGCGTCGTGGATCGAGTCTTCCTTTGCATCCGAGTCCTGACCGAACTGATCTGGATCTGACGCTCGAGCTGCCTGAACACATAGTAGCTGCCCCAGAACTAATTGACAGGGGGACATGCCAGGAGGACGCGCCGCGACACGTCCCAAGGGACGCGCCAGGCGACGTGCCAAGGGACGTGCCATGGGGTCGCACCGTAGGACGTGCCAAGGGGACGCGCTACGGGACATCCTCAAAATTCATGCGCGCGGAACGTGGCACGCGCGAGACATACCCGGAATTCCTGCGAGCGGGACGTGACAACAAACATTTCGCCTGAGACATCCTCTGAATTCTGGCCCCCCACGAGGCCCCCGCTCGAGACATCCCCCAAGTTTGCAAAACCAGCGTTTCGCTCGAAACATCCTCAACAAATTATGAACAACAAGCGTTTCGCTCGAGACATCCGGTCAAAATCCAAGGACATCCTCGCAACATTAGCCTGGTGAAGGACCCAACCATATGCAGTTGTGAATGCCGCAATTGTGCTGGGTGGTGGCGGACGCATGCGGGCGGTGCCACTGGGACCTTCGGTGGAGCTCCCTATGGGGCCACGAAACGCTGTACTGGTGGGTGAGACGCGGTCAGCAAGGGCTGTGCTGCGTGGTGGCGGACGCATGCGAGCGGTGCCACTGGGACCTTCGGTGGAGCTCCCTATGGGGCCACGAAACGCTGTACTGGGTGGGTGAAACGCAGGCAGGGAGTAAGAGCTGTGCAGATTGGTGGCGGACGCATGCGGGCGGTGCCGCTGGGACCTTCAGTGGAGCTCCGTATACGGCTACGAAGCGCTGTTCTGGGTGGGTGAAGCGCAGGGAACAAGGGCTGTGCTGGGTGGTGGCGGACGCAAGCGGGCAGTGCCACTGGGACCTTTGGTGGAGCCCCCTATGGGGCCACGAAACGTGCGAGGGGTGTGCCAGAATGGGGTGTGGAACCGCATGCCAGCGCAGCCACTGGGGCCTTCGGTGGAGCTCCCTATGGAGCCACGAAACGTGTGAGGGGTGTGCCGAAATGGGGGGTGGAACCGCATGCGAGCGCAGCCACTGCGGCGTTCGGTGGAGCTCCCTATGGGGCCACGAGACGTGTGAAGGGCGTGCCGAAAAAGGGGGTGGAACCGCATGCGAGCGCAGCCACTGGGGCCTTCGGTGGAGCTCTCTATGGGGCCACGAACCGTGTGAGGGGTGTGCCGAAATGGGGGGGGAACCACATGCGAGCGCAGCCACTGGGGCGTTCGGTGGAGCTCCCCATGGAGCCACCCACGAAGCGTGTGAGGGGTGTGCCGAAATGGGGGGCGGAACCGCATGCGAGCGCAGCCACTGGGGCCTTCGGTGGAGCTCCCTATGGGGCCACGAAGCGTGTGAGGGGTATGCCCGAATGGGGGGTGGAACCGCATGCGAGCGCAGCCACTGGGGCCTTCGGTGGAGCTCCCTATGGGGCCACGAAGCGTGTGAGAGGTGTGCCAGAATGGGGGGCGGAACCGCATGCGAGCGCAGCCGCTGGGGCCTTCGGTGGAGCTCCCTATGGGGCCACGAAACGTGTGAGGTGTGTGTGTGCCAGAATTGGGGGTGGAACCGCATGCGAGCGCAGCCACTGGGGCCTTCGGTGGAGCTCCCTATGGGGCCACGAAGCGTGTGAGGGCTGTGCCGAAATGGGGGGTGGAACCGCATGCGAGCGCAGCCACTGGGGCCTTCGGTGGAGCTCCCTATGGGGCCACGAAGCGTGTGAGGTGTGTGCCAGAATGGGGGGTGGAACCGCATGCGAGCGCAGCCACAGGGGCCTTCGGTGGAACTCCCTATGGGGCAACGAAGCGTGTGAGGGGTGTGCCAGAATGGGTGTGGGAAGGGGAGGAGGGGGGAGGAGGAGGAAGGAGGCGGGAACGCGGGGTACCGTCTCTTCAAAACGAGGACCCAACATCACAGAATGGTTGGGAACAAACGAATTAGTCGAGACATCCTCAAAATTCCTGCGCGCGGGACGCGGCACGCGCGAGACATCCTTGGAATTCATGCGAGCGGGACACGAAAACAAGCATTTCGCCCGAGACATCCTCTGAATTCTGCCCCCCCGCGAAGCCCCCGCTCGAAACATCCCCAAATTTTGCAAAACCAGCGTTTCCCTCGAGACATCCTCAACAAATTATGAAAACAAGCGTTTCGCTCGAGACATCCTGCCAAAATTCTAAGCAATCCTGACAAGTCAAGCGAATTAGTGGAGACATCCTCGAAATTCCTGCGCGCGGGACGCGGCACGCGCGAGACATCCTCGGAATTCCTGCGCGCGGGGCGCTTTTCCGCGTCGCGGTCGGGGCTCCAAACCATGGTATCTGTCGAGGATTCTGCGAAAAACGCTCCGCACCCTCTTTTTACGATGGAAAACGAGGGTCTGCGGACCCCGTTTTTTTATCGAGGATCCGAGATGGGGGGCGCACTTTCCTCGAGCGGGCACGCACGAAACGCACTTTTTCTAACAAATCAGCACTTTACCTTGTTATTTACGCAGAAAAATTTCGCCGGCCCTCTTCAAGTCAAAACCGGAGGTAAACCATCTAAAAGAGAACCCTGGGCCTATGCCCTCTCCGGGGAAAAAACTGCAGCGCAGGTCTTCGCAAACCCGGGTCGACCAACATGCGCGGCCGCCCCGCGGCCACGAGCGGCTCGCTGACCCGGGTCAGCCAGAGGGGGCCTTCGCAGGATCCTGCAGGATCTGGCGCTCTGGCTGACCCCCGTTTGCACTGACCCCCGTCTCTTGGGCCCCGACCCGGTCGTGTTCCAACCCCTGATGGTCCGCTACCGAAAACTTCTGGTAGCGCTCCGCAGAAATCGGTCGCTACCGAAATACCAAAATGTAGCGCCCAATACCGGTATCAGACCGTTCTGAAATCCGCTATTTCAACGCCCTCAAACGAAGATCCGGTCGCTACCGAAATTCGGGGTGCGTCGAAATCGCTACCGAAAATTTCCGGTACCAGACCATCTGGGACGGCCCCGGGGGCCCGGCAAGAGACCGAAACTGGCGAGAAGCCTTCCGCGGACTCCTCGTCGGACAGCCAGGGCGTGGCGGCGAGGCGGGCTGGGCGTTCCGCCCGAGGCCTCCTCCGCGCAGGTGGCCCCGAAGCTTGAACTGTCCACTGGCGCCGCGGACCGATGGGGGTGGTGGCTTTCAGACTGTGGCCCTCGCCTTGGAGCCGCACGTCAGTGTCTTGCGCGCAAAGTTCGAGCACATACGCGCACGGCGCACAAGCCTTCTTCAAAATGAGGCTCTCGCCCTCGCGCGCGCGCCCTTTCGTCCCAAATGGCTCCAACCGTTGCACGGATGGATGAGGTGATTTTCAACATGTGGCTTTCAACTTAGCGTTGCGCCCGTGTGTCTCATCACCGTAGCGTTGCGCACATGTGTCTTCAAACAATTTAAGGATGGGGCGTCGTTTTCATTAGGTTGTTATAGCCTGAACTCCGCGCGCGCTCGTCTTGACAGATGTACGCGTTCAACAACTTCAGAGATGGATGGCAATTCTTCTTGAACAAGGCCCTCGCCCAGGCGCCGTGCACATTCCCCCTAAACGCTGCCAACCAATTATTTGGATGGACGGAACATAGGTTGTTTTGACAACGCGGCTAACACCAGATTGCCGCCCGCACTCACTCGTGTCAAAAACTGTCCACACGTAGACCGCGACATTTCGCTTTAGGCTTCAGTTGTCCTTGCGAACAGAAAACTAGCAGCTGTGCAGAAGTGAACACGAGTGGAAAGCGGATTCTCTCCAAATCGGGCCTCTCGCTTGAGACTCCCGCATGTTTTCGGATGGCGCGTCGAACACTTGAAAACATAAGCGGGCTGAGGGCGACTCGTGTTCAAAGCAGGGACCTCGCTGGACGCTTCCTTGGACTTTGTGATCCCACCTCGTCGGCGTCCTCTCGGGTCGGGCAAAAGGGGGGGATAGCAAAGGGGGGGATTGAGAATCAGCTCACGGAGCTGATTTTCCCGGCGCCTCCCGGCGCCGGGAGGCGCCCATGTATCGAGGAATGGGCCCCCCGGTGAGGCCGAAATCAGCTGCATGCAGCAAATTTCGTAACCCCCCCTTTCCCAATCCTCCCCTTTCGCCCGGCCCGATCCTCATGGCGAGAAGCACGGATGATTCTTGCTCCTCCTCGCCATCGGGCCCTCGCCCGGCTTGCAGGACGACGGGGCGCTCGTCTTTCAAGGGGGCACTCTGGGCACCGCTCGGACGTCCACTCCCCGTGTTTTTTTTCGGTTTCGTGCGTGCTTTGTTCGCCAAATGACCAAGGATGCTCCTCGATGGTCCTCGCCGGAGGAAAACTGTACACGTCCGAGCGATGCCGAGCACTTGCCGAAGTGGAACGGATCTCTTGTGGGGACTTTTGGGGAGGGGGCCTGGTGCGGGTGGGCGGCTTGCAACATCGGTGATGCATCTTGGATTCAGCATGGTCCTCCTCGTCAGAGCAGGGCGGATGGAGACAAAATCGATCACTGGACCTTTCCCGCGGTGCGAACGCACCACTTCTCCAAGCTGCGTCCAGCCGTGGATACGAGGGGGCCCCGTGAAGGCCAACTACCGTTGTCTCAGCTCGCTCTCCTCTGATCGTCCTCTTCCACTTTGGACGCCCGACGTGTGTACGGACAAACATGGGCACGATGCCCAACAACCTATGTTTTCTAAAACCGGCAGCAGCCGCTGTTGGGCAGGCGACCTTTCTGTATCGAATGGACTGCGTCCACGGCGAAAAACCGACAGCGACGGGAAATGCTGCCAGTCTGTGCACTGAATCTTTCCGTACCCATTTCGGTCCTCCTCCTCCTCCACCAAGCGGATTCCGGAAACCCCGAACCCAAAAATGTTGTCATCTCTTGGGGGTGCATTTTTTACTTCCGCCACCTTCCGCTGGCTTCCGCTGGCGGAAGCGGCCTCGTTTTACTTCCGCTGACCTTCCGCCGCCATTCCGCCGAGGAAGAATTGACAACTTCTTCAATCCTCGATGGCATGGCCCTTTTTGGAAAACCTCACCTCCTCTCGTTCTCCTCCAGAGCTGGGGCTCCGGGACCACGGTGCGAGAGAAGATGTTGACGTTGAAAGTGACCTGGTCCGCCGCCTGCCGCGGGGGCGGCAGCGGTCAGCTTTGGCCGGACGGACCATTGGCGCGCGCAAGGCTCTCGGATGCTTCCGAATTTCTTTGGAGGTTTCGGGGGCCCGGGGTGCTTTCCAAACATGGGCGCGAATTACTGGAGGGGCGACTGATAGAGGGGAAGAATGGTGCCCTTTTCGGACCTGGAAGGCCCCCGCTGGGGCCCTGAGGGCACCCCGGAGGGGCGCTAGAGGGCTCCTTTTCTGCAGCCCTCCCCGCCCCATAACGCCCCCCCTATGAGTGCGAGGCCCAAACACGGCGCCTGGGGGTGCGCCGGGGGGGCGGTGGCGGCCAGCCCGAGGATGGAAGCTGGCTGGACGGACTATCCGCGCACCACTCCCCATCGCTTGGGCGTCCATTCCCTGCGCATTTTTCGGTTTCGTGCGTGCATTTTTTCCGCAGCGTGAACAAAAATGCTTCTCGATGGCCCTTGCCGATAAAAATGCACACGTCCGAGCGATGCCAAGACCAAAGGCTCCGATGTCTTTTTGGGCGTGGCATAAATGGGGGGGTCACAAATGGGGGGGGTCAGGAAAGGTCCCCTTTCGTGCCCCTTTCGGGCCCCTCCGGAGCCGCGGGGGGCTCGTTTAGGTACCGTTTGGGTACCTTTTCGGACCGCGCTCGCCGCCCCCCCTTCATTTACGACCCCCCCATTACGCAGCGCCCAATCTTTGGAGGTTCCGGGGGCCCCGGGTGCTTTCCACTCGCCGCGCCTCGCAGGACGGGCTCTGAAGGGTGCCCAGGTCGCCCCGAGCGGCCGCCCGAGCGTGTGGCCCGAGGGCCCGCCGTCGCCGCAAGAGCAAGAACGGCGGAATGTTTCCACCCGGGGCTTTCACGGCTCGCGGTCGGGACCTCCAGAGGTCGGGACCTCCAGAGGTCCCAGAGAAGGGGTCGGGACCTCCAGAGGTCGCGGTCGCAAGACTGTCCCAGAGAAGGGGTCGCGGTCGCAAGACTGTCCCAGAGAAGGGGCCGGGACCTCCAGAGGTCCCATGCTGCGCTTCTCGTGTGTTGCAGAAAGACTATGCAGGTGCACACCGATCCTGGCCGGGTCCATCCTGGGCCCAGGATGGAGGCGGCCAGGATCGGTTCACATGCGCATCGGAGGTGGGGAGGTGCGGTCGCAGTGGACGGAGAGCCCCCCACCAGGAGATTGGCTCCACCTTTCGTGTGCGTGTCGTGCGTGCGGGTCGAATCTGCGCGGGCGCCCGACAGGGCTGATGCCGCCGCGGATAGGGGCCGTGGAGCCGTTTGACCGCCCCGCCCCCCGGCGCGCGGTGGCCTGGGGTGCCCCGTTGGTGGTGCGGGGGTGCCCCGTCGGTGGTGCGGGGGTGCTCCGTCCGTGGTGCGGGGGTGCCCCGTCGATGGTGCGGTGGCGCGATAGTGAGATCGATAGTGAGATCGATAGTGAGATCGAAATGAAGGTCAATGGCGAGATCGATAGCCAGATCTGTGGTGAGATCGATTGTGGGACCGATCGTGAGATCGATCGTGAGACCGATTGTGAAATCGATACCCCGTCGGTGGCCGTCGGTGGCGCGAAAGTGAGATCGATAGTGAGATCGATAGTGAGGTCGATAGTGAGATTGATCGTGAGATGTGTGATGAGATCGATTGTGAGATCGATAGCGAGATCGATCGTGAAACCGATTGTGAGATCGATAGTGAAATCGATCGTGAGAGCGATTGTGAGACTGATTGTGAGGTCGACAGTGAGATCGATGTGAGCTCGATAGGGAGATCGATAGTGGTACCCATAAAAAAGATTTACAGAGAGATAGAGATCGACAGAGAGGTAGAAATCGAGAGTTTGATGATGAGTTACAATCGTCATTATGCATTCGCACCATCAGCACCATCGTGCATCGTCGCGGTCTCGTTTCCATCGAAGTCATCCAAGTTCCTCAGTTGTTCCCTCCCCCACCCGAAGGGTGGTCGTATAGGTAGTTATCTGCGCCCGGAAACACGGCATCAAAACTCTGGGCAGGGGTGGGTGCAAGGGGACGGCCTTCAAAAAGGGCGAGGGGAACCTCATCCTCCGAATCCAGGTCATATTCATCCTTATCCTCTTCCTTGTCATCCTCGTCCTCCTCCTCCTCGTCAGCATCACCACCCTCTTCCTCCTAATCCCTATCCCCCTTTTGCTCCATATCCTCCAGCCCATCATCACCATCCCCCGGAAAGGACTTCTCAGAGGCCTCATGCGAGAGCCACCCCGCCTTCTGAGTGGGCCGCCCCCCCCCTTCGCCCCACCCCTCTTGTACGCACCGCCAAGTTGCGGCGGGCAGAGGAACGCCGAGACGAGGATCGAGAGTCGAGGTTTTAATGTGTTTTCTATGCTTTCGGTGCGCGGGGGCCCGTTTGGCGCCTCTGGACTGTCAAACATCGACCCGGGACAAGGCGGGGACCAGCTACCGACTTTGAGCGGATTCTGTCTAGCGGAGAGGACAAATCGAAGTTCCAGGATTCACACAAGCATCTGATGTCTTGATTTCGTCAATCTGGGGACATTGCGAACTCGGCGCGCGATAACACGTTTGGCCCCTTCTCGGCCTTCCGGGTGCCTCTTGAGAGCTCGGGGCCCATGGGAAGAAATGCAGGCGCAAGCCCCTCTCTTTAGAAGCGGGCCGTGGGTCCCAGAAGGGTCCCCCCAGACAAGTCCTTCGTCCTGAATTTCGGGGGCTTCGAAGAGAGAGGGTGCACCGCACAGTGGCCCGAAGAATGTGCGCGGACGAAGGGGGGAGCGGGAGACGTAACGAAAGAAGAGTAGGGGCTATGAAATCGGGGGAGGTTTCACGGCTCTGGCCATGATTCCCCCCCTCGGCCTGACCCCCCTCTTGGACGTCCTTGAGAATTGTGAGCCGCACGTATCTACCAAGGTATGCGGGCCTTCGCTTAAAACAGAATGCAAGTCTCAGGCTCGCGAACCTACTACCCCTGAGAAATCGTCACACCATGTGCGTGCTGGCCGCTGTGAACACAATTTCATGGTCGTGCTCCTGTGCCCGATGATGAGCCGTTCTTTGAACGTCCTGGGGCCCATGGGGGGCCCGGGGAGGTCAAAAGCGACGAAACACCTCCAAGATCCATGCCCAGTGCGGCCCGAGACGTCCCGACAACTTCCTCGCGGGCACCGCTTCATCCAGGATCCATCTTTCGTGGCCCCCGGGCCCGATGACAAGCCTCGATGTCGAGGAGCAGTGCTGGGATTGAAGGGCCTCGGCACGCGTCCAACGCTGGCACTAACACGCGTCCTGAAGATCATCTGCAGCTGGGCGGCCCTCCAGACGCAGAGACGGCCCGCTCCTCGGAGGAAGGGCCCCCTCGTCCTGGAGACCCCTCGTCGCCACGGCCGGACTCTCTGCAAACGCCCCGGTCGGAACGCAGCACTGCTGCTGGCAATGTCCTTATCCACATCCAGTGCGTCTTGGAGTTTCGGACACTCTTCCCAAGAAGCATGAGGCGCACCGGATATGGATGATAATCTGCCTCCAAAAGGCTCAATTTTTATCCATATCCAGTGCGCCTCGGCCTTGCGGCGCCCCTTCCAAGAACATCCAAGACGCACTGGATATGGTAGGAAGGCACCAACTATACACCAACACCGATCCTGGCCCAGGATCACCCTGGGCCCAGGACCGGTGTATACGCCCTCCTGCCTTGCGCAAGAAGGCGTATACACCGATCCTGGGCCCGGGGTGATCCTGGGCCAGGATCGGTGTTGGTGTATAGTTGGTGCCCTCCGATATGGATATAAATATTGCCCGCAATTGCTCCTCCTGCCCAGACCCCCCCACACACACCAGGAGCTGCTCACGACGTGCACTCCCAGAGAGGCCTGGACCCCTCCCCGGGAGCCGGGGGCCTCCTCCCGGGCAACTGGCTCGAGGGCCCCGCCTCCCGATAGGAAGGCACCAACTATACACCAACACCGATCCTGGCCAGGATCGCCCTGGGCCCAGGATCGGTGTATACGCCCTTCTGCCTTGCGCAAGAAGGCATATACACCGATCCTGGGCCCGGGGTGATCCTGGGCCAGGATCGGTGTTGGTGTATAGTTGGTGCCCTCCGACCCGAGGCCCAGAGCCGGGGCGCTGACAACAGGAACCCTAAATCATGGAACGAGGCCCCTATTTCCATAAGTTCGCCGTGCACTCCCAGAGGCCCGGACCCCTTCCCGGGAGCCGGCGCCTCATCCCGGGCACTGGCTTGACGGTCCCGCCTCCCGAGGCCCACAGTCGGGGCGTTGACCCAAGGAACCCTAAATAGGTGCCTCATCCCGGGCAATGGCTTGACGGTCCCGCCTCCCGAGGCCTACAGTCGGGGCGTGAAACCAAGGAACCCTAAATGTAGAACGAGGCCTTTGTTTCCATAAGTCCAGCGTCGACTCTCCATCGCCACCCCAAGGAAAGCCGAAGGCGAAGAGTGAGCAAACGAACGAGCACGCTGACCCTCCCTAATGCAAAGGGTTCCTTCTTCAGCGCCCCGACTGTACGGAGGAGAGGCCGCGAGAGGTGGACGGCGCCCGCTCGGGCAGCGGTCGCCGCCCGCCCGAATGCCTGGAGGTGGTCGTGCAGACGAACAGGGCAAGCAACCAGGAAGCAAGAAATCGAGGGACACGTCCTTCGCCGACGCTGTGCTTCGCATGAGGTGCTCCTGGGCTCTCTGAGGGCCCCTTGGGAGACACGAGATTGTCGTGTGTCACCCGTGGGTAGGCACAGTCTCTTGGTTGACGCGCCTAGTGAATCTTGAGCCATCCGCACGCCTATCTTGGGCCATCCCTGGGAGAGCCTTCATGGGTGCCTCTGTGGACCTCCGCGTACCCATCAGAAACGTGATTTCCACCGGCTGTCAATCAAATTTCGACCAACCCTCTTCACCCTTTCGTCTAGATTCCGCTCAGACGTCGTGCAAATGTCGACCAACTCCGACGAAATGCAAACGAAACCTTCAAAACCACCCGGCATGTTGGTACCCCCAGAGGCTCCCCTGAAGGACCACGCAACCACCCGACTGCACCTCGCCAGGCCCAGGGCACCAGACACCTCACGAAAGCTGGCGCTCGGCCACGGGGGCAGGAGAGCCCGGAATCGAGTCGACATGTCGGGTCGGCGATCGACGTGAATCGGATCGGCGGACATCGGCAGGCTAGCAGCGCCTCCCTTGAGAAGCCGACATTCACGTCGGAATCTGAGGCCGAATCGAAGCGGACTCGGAGACGATCGACGCCGACTCGAACCGAGCGGGGGGAATCGAAATGAGCCCTGCGGGGGGGGGAAAGAAGACACGCCATAAACATAAACTGTTGGAGCTCCTCGCGGATTTTTTGATCTGCGCTGGACCCCCCCTCCCTGGCGCGCGGAGCGCGCCAGGGGCGGCGCCGGAAGCGCCGCCAGGGGGGGCCAGCGCGGATCCAAGAAACCCGCGCGGATCTGCGACTGCGGGGGGAGGCGCACATTCTTCTGCAGGGTACTCCTTCCCTCCTCCTCCTCCTCCTCCTCCTCCTCCTCCTTGTCCTCCTCCTTGTCCTCCTCGTCGTACTCCTCCTCGTCCTCCTCCTCCTCCTGCTCCATTCTCCTGCGGGGTGCGGCGGCGGCGAGGCGGTCCTTCTGGCAGTCCTGCGTGAGGCGGGAGGTGATCTCCTGCGGGGGAAGGGGGCGGCAGCCGGCCCGCCCAGGCCCAGGCCCAGGCCCAGGGGCACACAAGCAAGTGGCACGCGTGCCCTGGCTCTTGCTGACTACCTACCAGACCACCCCAACCCAACCCGAAGACCCGAATTTCGGGTTGGGGGGGGTAAGGGTCCCACACGTGTTTTTTCTATGTTTCCCGACACCCCCCCCACTGGAAATCGAGGGTAAATTTGAGCCTTCGGGTTGGGTTGGGGTGGCTTGGTGGGTGGTGACTTGCACATCTGACAAGAGAAAGAGGAGGCGGGGCATGTGGGGGGCGAGAGGGCCAGGGGATGGCGGGCCAGAGCCAAAGGGACGACGACGAGCCACGAACCATGAAAATACAGGGTCTGGGGCGAGGAGGGCTGGGCCAAGGCCAGGGTCGGGGCGAGTGGGGCCAAGGCCTGGGGACAGGCTGAGTTCAGCCAGGGCCAGAAGGAGGGCTGGGGCTCGGACCAGGGGCCGGAGGTCTGGGTTTGGGGGAGGGGGCGAGGGGAAGCGGGCCACAGCCAGGGGGACGGGGGCGAGGGGGCGAGGGGAAGCGGGCCACAGCCAGGGGGACGACGACGAACCACAAACCACGAAAATAAAAGGGCCGGGGCGAGGGGGGCTGGGGCCAGGGCCAGGGGACGCCAGAGCCAAGGAGGGAGGTTGGGTTCAGGGCCAGGGCAGGTGGACGTGGGCGACGGGGCCAGGGGCCGGAGCCAGGGGGGACGACGACGAACCACGAAAGTAAAGGGTCCGGGGCGAGGGGGGCTGGGGCCAGGGCCAGGGGAGGCCAGCACCAGGGGGGGAGGTTGGGTCCAGGGCCAGGACCGGACCAGGGGGACGACGACGAGCGGAAATAAAGAGGTCCGAGCTCTAGAGCACAACTGTGCAAGAGAATAAATACAAACAAATCCCAGGATTCCCCATATTGTATACATTTTTTTCTGGGTTTTCGTCTTCCCCACCACTTCCATATGTTCTCATATTTTCCTGGGAATCGCCGATTGAATGTGTCTGTGCGTTTTTTCCCCTCCTGAGTCCAGGTCGTCGTCGTCGTCGTCGTCGTCGTCGTCGGCGGCGGCGGCGGCGGCGGCGGCGGCGGCGGGGGAGCGTCGAGCAGCGCACCGCACGTCCCTCGCAAGGGGACGTGCAGCGAGCTGCCCCCACTCAGTGCACAAGTTACGTAAGAACGATTGGGGGCACCCTCCTCCTGAACAACAAAGCAGGGTCCCGACCGGCTCGAATCTTACAACAAATCTGGATCATCGCGAGAACAAGCCCTGATGTTGCTGCACCTGGACTGCAATCGGATCACCACTTGTGCGCACCCTAGCCCTTCTCTATTTGCGACCTTGTCGCAACCCGTCCGGGAGAAGTGCGAGTGTCGTCTTCTCTCCCCTCTCCCCCCTATCGCATCCACCCAACCCATATTAGATCCTTCCCCCCCCCTACTCTCCCGTCATCCCCGCCCCGTGCCCTTCCTTCCTCCCCCTTCCCCCCCCCCCGACACCCCGCCCCTCCCGCCTTGCCCCCTCCCCCCCCCCCCCTTACGCCTCTCACCGCCCCCCCCCCCGTTCCATCACTTACTCTTACGGCAGGTTCGTGTCGTGCCGACCCCAGCGTTGGTTTTTGACACCGCAGGGATCGTTCCACCTTGAACGATCGGCCGCTGCCGCAACGTCCGATCGTTCAACATCGATCGATTCTGGGTCGCCGGCGGCGTTCAACCTTGAACGCCCGCGCTGGGGTCGCCGCTGGTCGACACGACGCAAACCTACCGTACCCTTCCCTCTCTCTTCCCCTTCCCTCGCCCACCCTGCCCTCACCTCCCCCACATTCGCCTCCTCCGCTGCACACAAGGTGTCCAGGCTGGCCGCCGCGCCCCGCTGCGCGCCCTGCCCGGCTCCCCACAGGAGGGGAACGCCCACGGCCCCCCAGAGGGGCCGCGTTGCCCAAACGCTGGGGTGGCGGGGCGGGGCCTTCCCGCTGCTTGCCCACGATACAAAAAGCAATGACGACAACAACGATGACGATCAATATCACAACGACATCGATAACGGTTGTTATCGTTGTGATCGTCATCGTGACCGTTGTGATTGTTATCGTTGCTATCGCTGTTGTCGTCATTGCTTCCACTCCGTGCCGTGCGCATCCTTGGCAGCCTCGCGCAGAAAACCCGCCAATTCCCTCGCCGCCCTCGCCGACAGGCGCTGGCCTAGGTTTCGCACGCGCCAGGAGCGTGCACCCGCGCGCAGACCACCCCGTTCGATTACTTGCCGCCTTTGCACCTTTCGTCCCCGTCAACCGTCCCCCCATCCCTTCCTTCCTTCCTTCCTTCTGCCCTTCGCCCCATCGCCCCCCACGCCACCCGCCCCCCCCCTTCCATCCCCTTCCTCGTCCCGCGCTCCACCCTGCGAACTTCCACGCGTCTCCCCCTCCCCTTCCTCCTCCCCCCCTTTGCCCCCTCTCCGCCCCCCCGCCTCCTCCACTTTCCGCCCCACGGGTGGCTGCCCCCCTGCCACACGCCGGGCGCGGGCTCCCTTCCCGGTCAACGCTGGGGGGGGGGCACCACCCCTCGAGCCTTCATTTCACGGGGCCCGCTAGACAGAAGCGGCAAGGGGTGGATGGGGGGACGAGGTGACGAGGCCGTTTGAGGCCCGACGTGTCTTGCAGCGTTAGACAGAGTTCTAGCTAGGCCAATGCGGACGCCCCCTTTTGCAAGACTGTCTTGGGACGCGCGGGGACATACCAGCACAATGTGTCCTCATCGGAAATGCGCGTCCAACCCGAACATATAATACACCAGCGTCGTCAGAGTGAGGGGGCCGAACGGTCACTCATTGTCCCTGGGCGCGTGGCTGAAAAAAACATGATGGACCCACGAACCCGGAAAGGGATATAGACATGTGGAGCATGGACACGTTTTCATGATACCCAACTGGGCAACACCTCACGAAACATCCCACGAGACACCTCACGAAACAGCCCACGAGACACCTCACGAAACATTCCACGAGACACCTCACGAAACATTTCACGAGACACCCCGCGAAACATTCCACGAGACACCCCACGAAACATTCCACGACGACAGGCAACCACTCAACCAAGGCGGTGTGGTCGTGCTGGGGAGTGGTCGTGCTGGGGAGTGGTCGTGCTGGGGTGTGGTCGTGCTGGGGGGTGGTCGTGCTGGGGGGGGGTCGTGCTGGGGGGTGGTCGTGCTGGGGGGTGGTCGTGCTGGGGCGTGGTCGTGCTGGGGCGTGGTCGTGCTGGGGCGTGTCGTGCTGGGCGTGGTCGTGCTGGGGCGTGGTCGTGCTGGGGCGTGGTCGTGCTGGGGCGTGGTCGTGCTGGGGTGTGGTCGTGCTGTGGTAAGGTCGTGCTGGGGTGCGGTCGTGCTGGGGTGTGGTCTTGCTGGGGTGGGGTCGTGCTGGGGTGTGATCGTGCTGGGGTGGGGTCGTGCTGGGGTGTGGTCGTGCTGGGGTGTGGTCGTGCTAGGGTGGGGTCGTGCTGGGGTGGGGTCGTGCTGGGGAGTGGTCGTGCTGGGGTGTGGTCGTGCTGGGGTGTGGTCATGCTGGGGCGTGGTCGTGCTGGGGTGGGGTCGTGCTGGGGTGGGGTCGTGCTGGGGTGGGTTCGTGCTGGGGTGCTCCGCACCCTGTGATTTATCAATCGGGTCGTGCTGGGGTGTGGTCGTGCTGGGGTGTGGTCGTGCTGGGGTGTGGTCGTGCTGGGGTGTGGTCGTGCTGGGGTGTGGTCGTGCTGGGTCGTGGTCGTGCTGGGGCGTGGTCGTGCTGGGGTGTGGTCGTGCTGGGGGGTGGTCGTGCTGGGGGGTGGTCGTGCTGGGGGGGTGGTCGTGCTGGGGGGTGGTCGTGCTGGGGCGTGGTCGTGCTGGGGCGTGGTCGTGCTGGGGCGTGGTCGTGCTGGGGTGTGGTCGTGCTGTGGTGAGGTCGTGCTGGGGTGTGGTCGTGCTGGGGTGTGGTCTTGCTGGGGTAGGGTCGTGCTGGGGTCGGGTCGTGCTGGGGTGTGGTCGTGCTGGGGTATGGTCGTGCTGGGGTGGGGTCGTGCTGGGGTGGGGTCGTGCTGGGGTCTGGTCGTGCTGGGGTGTGGTCGTGCTGGGGTATGGTCGTGCTAGGGTGGGGTCGTGCATTTCGCTCGAGACATCCTGCCAAAATTCCAGGAAATCGTAAAAAAACAAAGGAATTAGTCGAGACATCATCGAAATTCCTTCGCGCGGGGCGCTTTTCCGCGTCGCGGTCGGCTCTGCAAAACAAGCGTTTCGCTCGAGACATCCTCGGCAAACTCTGCGGAGCAAGCGTTTCGCTCGAGACATCCTCAACACACGAAAAAGTGGCCCGCACCCTGTGATTTATCGATCGGGATTTCAAAAACAAGCGTTTCGCTCGAGACATCCTCAAATTTTAATTCGCCGGCCTCCTTCGACCTCGTTATTTATCAGGGAAAAAATTCGCCGGCCTCCCTCAAGTTGGCACCGGGGGACAGGTTTACCTACTAAAAGAGAACCCTGGGCCCCCGCCCTTTCCGGGAAAATCCGTGGTGAGAATTATGCTTGTTGCGTTGTTGTCGTTGAACTCTCACTTCTGAAGACTAATTATTGTTGATCCCTTCCCACGGGTGCATACTGTTTTTCTCCATCAAAGTGTGCCCCTCGACGCTCGCTCCCTGTTTTTTGACAGGGGAAATCCTGATGCTCACTCAAACTGGGCCCCTGGCACCCCGGATTACAACAACAACAACAACAACAACAACAACAACAACAACAACAACGGCTCCCGCTTAAGATTTCCTCACAATTTAACCAAGACCCCCGCTCCCGCCCGAGACTTCCTCGCATTTTATTCAGGACCCGCGCTCTCGCATGGGACGTCCTTGCAATTGGTTCAAGAATCGCTTTCCCGGCGCTCTGGAGTCGCGCTCTCGCTGGAGACTCGCTTGCAATCTACTGCAGAATAGCGCCCTTGCGTTGGAGT